GCGTCCGTGAGCTCGCACCCCCGCGCCCACTCCCTCGAACGGAATTGTGCACCTCAGGGGAGGGGGGCATGGGTGAAGGGGACAGCCAATTATACCACGCGACTTTTCACCCACAGCAAGGTCGGTGGATGTTTTTTTTGTGTTTCAACTATCCTGTGGTGTTGGGCTCTCATTTTGACGAGACAGCGCCCCGCGTTCCTCTCCCTATCGTCTCCTCCTCATCCTCTTCGTCGTCGTCGTCCTCCTCCTCGTCGTCGTCCTCGTCCTCCTCCTCCTCCTCCTCCTCCTCCTCCTCTTTCTCCTCCTCCTCCTCCTCCGGTCTTCCTGTCATCCGTGCCTATGCTCTCCGCGTGTCCACCGTTTCGGTACACCGCTCACACGGTCTGTCGCCCCATAGGGAGCTCCACCGAAGGGCCTAGGGGGAGGGTCCACACGCGTCCCCGCCACTCATGACGGCGCACCCCTCACACGGTTCGTGGGCCCATAGGGAACTCCACCGAAGGCCCCAGGAGGAGGGTCCACATGCGTGCCTGCCACCCCTTACGGCACCTCTTTCACGCGGTTCGTGGCCCCATAAGGAGGAGCTCCACCGAAGGCCCTGGGGGAAGGTCCACATGCGTCCCCGCCACCCATTACGGCGCACCCTTCACACGGTTCGTGGCCCCTTAAGGGGCTCCACCGAAGGCCCCAGGGGTGTTGGTCCACATGCGTCCCAACCACCTATTACGGCGCACTCCTCACACGGTTCGTGGCACCATATGGAGCTCCACCGAAGGCCCGATGGAGAGGGTCCACATGCACCCCCGCCACCCATTACGGCGCACCCTTTGCAATTTTCGTGGCCCCGTAGGGGGCTCCACCGTAGGCCCCAGGGGAGTGGGTCCACATGCGTCCCCGCCACCCCTTACGGCGCACCCCTCACACGGTTCGTGGCATCATATGGAGCTCCACCGAAGGCCCCAGGGGGAGGGTCCACATGCGTCCCCGCCACACATGAAGGCACCCCCCTCACATGGTTCGTGGCCCCGTAGGGGGCTCCACCGTAGGCCCCAGGGGAGTGGGTCCACATGCGTCCCCGCCACCCATTACGGCGCACCCTTCATACGGTTGGTGGGCCCATAAAAGAGCTCCACCGAAGGCCCCAGGGGGAGGGTCCACATGCGTCCCCGCCGCCCATTACGGCATACCCTTCACATGGTTCGTGGGCTCCAGGGGGAGGGTCCACATGCGTCCCCGCCACCCATTACGGCGCACCCCTCACACAGTTCGTGGGCCCAAAGGGAGGTCCACCGAAGGCCCCAGGGGGAGGTTCCACATGCGTTCCCGCCATCCATTACGGCACACTTTTCACGCGATTTGCGGCCCCATGGGGGTTCTCCGCTCGTTCACGCCGGCGGATAGGCGCGCCAGCGCCGCAACGGTAGAATTTTAGGCTGCTCTGAGCGTCAGCGCCTGGGACGACCTGCCCGCGTCGCTGGGGCTCCTCCAGGGCGACCGGCGCGCGTCGAGCGGATTCCGCGCTGCGCTCCGCGCAGCACCTCGATCGCTCGGCGACGCTCTGCCCAGCGGCCAGCGACTGCCCCGCTGTCGGCCAGCCAGCTAGCTTTCTCTGCTCCGCGCAGTGGACGACCCGCGCGCGTCGCCTGGACCTCTGCGGGGCAACCAGAGCGCGTCGCGCCGCGGTCACCAGGGCGCGAGTACACAGAGGGGAATATCTGAGAGCCCACCATCCCGCTCCGCTGCCCCCTCCTTTCCCCCACCCCTGCCCGCACTGCCCCGCGCCTCGTTCCTCCTGCGGCGCGCTGCTCATGAGAGCTACTCTACTCGGTGCTTGCGCGCCCCCCTCCTTCGTCTCATTACCCTCGCTGTGCTCTCAGCTGCATATGGTTGGGTCCGTCGCCAGACTAACTTCAAAGTGTAAGATCAGAGTGAGGGGGCCGAACGGTCATTCATTGTCCCGGGGTGCGTGGTGAGGATTTTGCTTGTTGCGTGGTGGTTGTTGTGGGTGTTAGTTGTCGACGTCCCACCCGCGACACACCCGCGACCCACCCCGCGACCCACCCGCGACCCACCCCGCGACCCATCCGCGACCCACCCCGCGACCCACCCGCGACCCACCCGCGACCCACCCGCGCCCCCCCCCCCCGACCCACCCGCGACCCACCCCGCGACCCATCCGCGACCCACCCCGCGACCCACCCGCGACCCACCCGCGACCCACCCGCGACCCCCCCCCCCGACCCACCAGCGACCCACCCGCGACCCATCCGCGACTCACCCGCTACCCGCGACCCCCCGCGACCCACCCCGCGACCCACCCGCGACCCACCCCGCGACCCATCCGCGACCCACCCCGCGACCCACCCGCGACCTACCCGCGACCCACCCCGCGACCCATCCGCGACTCACCCGCGACCCGCCCGGACCCATTTGCGACCTACCCGCGACCCACCCCGCGACCCACCTGCGACCCACCCGCGACTCACCCGCTGCCCAACAGCGACCCACCCGCGACCCACCCGCGACCCATGTGCGACCCACCCGCGACCTACCCACATTGGTTTAACGAAAAGTTCGGCGCATGCGGCAGGCTCGATGTTCAATTTGTGAAACTTTGGCGCTTGCGGTGGGCTTCTCCGCAGTCTCGCAAACTGCCGACGTCCCCACCGCCCCCTCACTCTTATCCGCACCTGCGGGGTGTTACCTACTTTTGCAAGCGGGGGGGGAGTGGTGGGTGGGCCCCCCCCCCGCAAAGCGGGACCCCCACGTCCGCGTCCCCAGGGGCCCTTGGACGCCCCTGCAAGAGGCCCCCCCCCAGGCTTTCCTGAGCTCTTGGAAGCTTTTGGTGGGCCCAGGCGACGGGCCCAAGTCGGTCAGGAAGGCGGCCGTACGGCTCCCCGAAGGCCCCAAGAAACCCCAGACATCTACCAGACGCCCGACAACGACCCGAAGAAAACGCCGAACTGGTTTTTGAAACGCAGGAAACAACCATTGCTGATCGATGCTTTTGTATGATTTTGGGGATGCTCAGTCCGTCGGCCTTCTGGGCGTCCGAAGCCGCCCAGGAGGCCCTAAAGCCGTCGCCCCACACTCAATCCTAGAGGGCCCGACAAGAGCCCCATGACGGCCCAAGGTGGCCCCAAAACGCCCCCCGAAGCATTCCAAATCGTGACTTGGTCGTTCAGGGAGATCGCGGTTGGAAGCAGGGTGGCCCAAAGTAACCCCCAGAAGCCCCCAGAAAACGCCCATGAAACCTCCAGAAGGCCTTAAGAAACCGTTGAACACTTCCGTGGGGCCCGCTCTCCAAGGTGGAGCCCCCGCAAAAAAACTGAGGAGGATTGGGGGGAATGAGGAAACAAAAAGGGGAATTTTGAGGGAAGGCCCACCATAGGTATAATGGCGATGCTGGAGAGAGACAACCAGGATTTATCACTACATTGTCTATTTGATTTTCTGGCTCTTCCGCCTGCATGCTGAATTTCAAGGGCCAAGGTGCGTTGACGCGAAGCGCCAATGCAGTCTCGCATGTATTTGCAGGCATATGTATGTATGTGTGTGTATGTATGTATGTATGTATGTATGTATGTATGTATGTATGTATGTATGTATGTATGTATGTATGTATGTATGTTAGTACGTGTGCGTGTATGTATGCATGCGTGTGTACCTGTCTGCCTGTCTGCCTGTCTTTCTGCCTGTCTGTCTCTTTGTATGTATGCATGCGTGTATGTATGTATGTATGTATGTATGTATGTATGTATGTATGGATGTATGTATGTATGTATGTATGTATGTATGTACGTGATGTGATGTGTTGCGTTGTGATGTATGTAAGCAGGTATGCATGTATGTATGTATGTATGTATGTATGTACGTATATATGTATGTATGTATGTATGTATGCATGTATGTATGTATGTATGTATGTATGTATGTATGCAATGTATGTATGTATGCATGCATGCATGCATGCATGTATGTGTGTATGTATGTATATATGCGTGTATGTATGCATGTATGCATGTATGCAAATGTATATTTATTTATGTATATGTATATGAATATGTATGTGTATGTGTACATGTACATGTATTTTCAGATGTATGTGTATGTGTATGAGTATATGTATATGCATATGCATGTGTGTATGTATGTGTGTATGTATGACTAGAAATGTGCATGCGTCCATGTATGCACATATGCATGCATGCATGAATGTATGATTGTGTGTATGTATGCATGCATGTACATATGCGTGCATGTGTATGTGTATGTGTATGTGTATGTGTATGTGTATGTATATGTGTATGCATGTATATAGGTATGCATGTATATGTATATATGTATATGTATATGTATATGTATAAGTATGTGTTTGTGTACGAATGTATTTATATATACATATATGTATTTCTGTATGTATGTATGTATGTATGTAGATAGGTATGCCTGTCTGTATGTATGCATGCATGCCTGTATGTATTTATGTATGTTTGTATGTATATGTGTATGTATGTGTGTGTGGGGGCTATGTATGTATGTATGTATGTATGTATGTATGTATGTATGTAGGTATGCAGGTATGTAGGTATGCATGTATGCATGCATGCATGCATGTATGTATGTATGTATGTATGTGTGTGTGTGTGTGTGTATGTATGTATGTATGTATGTATGTATGTATGTATGTATGTATGTATGTATGTATGTATGTATGTATGCATGCATGCATGCATGCATGCATGCATGCATGCATGCATGCATGCATGTATGTATGTATGTATGTATGTGTATGTATGTATGTATGTATGTATGTATGTATGTATGTATGTATGTATGTATGTATGTATGTGTGTATATATACATGTACTTTTTTTGCTATTTCCCTCTCTCTCTATCTTTCTCTGGTCCCGTGTCCCCACATCGGCCTTCGTTACCCTTCTTATTCCTTCCTCTCTTCCCACGGCTGTTTCGGTGCTCTGACCGTGCTTCTCTCCGAGGGCATTCTGCTGTGCACGGACGTGGCCGCGCGGGGCCTCGACATCCCGAACGTAGACTGGATCGTCCAGTACGACCCCCCTGACGAGCCCAAGGACTTTTCTCCTGCCCCCCCCCCACCCACATGCAGACCACTCGAGCCGCCGTCTTGCGCTGCTCTGGTAAGGCCGTTGCTCCCGAGCTGCTCCAGCTGCTGCTTCCGCTGCTTCTGCTCCTCCTCGCCATCCTTCTTCCTTCCTTCCCCCCCTCCTCTTCCCCCTCCTCTCCTTTCTCCTTCCCCCCTCCTCCTTCGTTCCTTCCCCCTCCTCTCCTTCTTCCCCCCCCCCTCCTCCACTGGGAGGCCCGCCAAAACGCACGTGGCCAGCCCGTGCCCCTCTCAGGATCCCCGCGCGCGCTGCGATGCGCACCGCGGTGCGCCCCGACGCGGCTAGCAGCCCTGGCTCCCCTGCCGCCTCTCGCGCCTCCGGCCGTCTCTCGTCGGGCCATCGCCGCGCTCCGTGAGCAAGAGAGCACCCCCAGGCCGAAGCCGCGAAGCGGAGGCGGGGTGCGGCGTCTTCGGCACCCTCTGCGGCCCTCGGAGGCCCTCTCGCCCGGCCCGGGCTTTTTTTGTGCCACACCGCCTGGTGCTTCACCGAGTCGCCGAGTCATGGTCCGAGGCATGTCCAGCCACTCCCGTGCGCTTCGCGCGTCGTGGAGCCGGTCCCGCCGGATGGCGGTTTGGCCGCCGCTCGGCTCCGCCCCGCTGGCCCGGGCCCCTGGGCCGTCCGAAGAGCCGCCCGGGGCGGAGAAGAGCGGGTCCCAGGGAGAGGGGGTCCAGCAGTCCAGGCCTGTGGGGGAGGAGGGGGGTCCAGACCTGTGGGGGTCGACGTGGTGACAAAGGTCACGACGTAGGAGTTCTGGGGTCACGGAGGAGGAGGAGGACGAAGGGGTATGAGGAGGAGGAGGAGGATGAGGAGGAGGAGGAGGAGGAGGAGGAGGGGGGGGAGGAGGAGGAGGACCAGTGGAAACCCAATATTCATCGACGATGTTGGAATAAGCCCTCCCCCAACCTCCTTCTTAGTAGGCCCCATACAAATATTCATTTACACTGAAGGAGGTGTCCCTTTGGGGGACAACCGGTAAACGATCCTGAAGCGTGCCAAAACAGCATCATCGGGACTTCAACGCCACGAATGAGACTGAAGCGTCTTGACGATCGTGAATCGTGTCAAAACGCCATTGTTGGACTTCAACACCGCGAATCAGCGTAACTGTTGCGCCCTGGCAGTGCTGAGTCGTTCCAGAACGCAGTTTCTGGTAGGTGAACCGGGAGAATCCGTGAAGTTCTTGCGAATGCTTGGGACGTGTGCTCGTGGCGCTAAAGCGGGAGCTACAGTTTGAAAAGGAACCACCCTCAATCCGTGAAGCTCTTGCAAATATTGAAGACGAGTATGGGCGGCGCTAAGGCGACCACCACATTTTGAAAACGACCTGCTTTCAATCCGTGCAACTTCTCTTTGAATGTTCAAGACGAGTGTGCGCGGCGCTAAGGCGAGCGCCACATGTAACTACCCGCCCTTTATCCGTGAACTTCAAGTGTTTTTTTAGACGAGTCTGCGCGGCGCTAGAGCGAGAGCCACACTTTGAAAACGACCCGCCCTCAATCCGTGAAGCTCTTGCAATGTTTAAAAAGAGTGTGCCCTGCGTCAAGCGGTGACAGCCACATTTTGAAAACTGTCCGCTCTCAATCCGTGGAGCTCTCGCAAATTTTGAAGGACGGATGTGCGCGGCGCTAAGGCGAGAGCCACATTTTGAAAGCGGCCCGCCCTCCATCTGTGAAGCTGTTGTCAATTTTTCAGCTTCAGAGTCACAAGTGGTGAGGAAGTCTCAAGCCAAACGCCTGGCCCGCCCTTTCAACCAGTTCGGGGGGCGACGGAGAGGAATTATTTATAAGGAAAAGGCATAGAGGAGGAGTAGAAGGAGACGGAGGAGGAGGAGGAGGGCGAGGAGGAGGAGGAGGAGGAGGAGGAGGAGGAGGAATAGCCGCCGCGGCCCTCCGCTGCCCAGAGGAGTACATCCACCGGGTCGGTAGAACGGCCCGCGGCTCCGACGGCAAGGGTAAGGCCCGCGGCGCGCGGCGCCGGCCCGCTCGCCAAGGGGCAGGGTCAAGCTGGCAGAGACGGGGTCAATGGTCAGGGGCGGCCTAACCGACCCCTAGCAAACCATCCCCTTCCGCGACGTCCCCCTCGCCTCGCCCCAAGACGTATGTATGCGACCGGAAGGATGCTTGAAAGTCGAGGCTGACGTCACGGAAGGGGATGGCTTGCTAGGGGTCGGTTAGGCAGCACCCGATCACTGCAAAGGGGGGCCAGCCAGGGCGCGGGATCTTGCAGTACCCTGGAACGCCAGGATTGCATTGACCCGTGCAAGCGCGCAGGATCTTGCAGGATCTTGCGAGGCCTGGCTGGCCCGAGTTTCGCATTGACCCGCGTCAGCAGAAGCCCGACGGGGAGCAGGAGGGTGTACGGTGTCGCATCTGGCTGCTTGCGGTATGTGCCGCCGCCGTGCCAGCGCAGCACTGCGCGGCGGCGCCTCGGGCATCGCCCAGTCGTCTCCGTGCCTGGAGGGGGCCCTCGTGCGGCCCATCTGGACCGCCTTGGGGCTGTTGGGAGGCTCTTGTGGGGCTGCCCTGGGGCCCAGGCCCTGTCGGACGCTTTCCTCTGTGAGCACCCCGCGCGTGAGCAAGCCTGAGCGCGAGCCAGAGCCCAGCTGGGTGTGCGCTGGTCCGAGTGGGAGCGCTCCTCTCTGCTTCTCTCTGCCGCCGTGTGCTGCCCTTTCTCTGCCGTCGCGTGTTACCCCTCTGGCGGCTCCCCCTGTGGTGCTCGAGTGCTGTGCCTGCTACGGTCGGGCCGAGGTATAAGATCGAGGTCGGTTCGAGGAGGATTCGCTAATGTTCTTCGTGTTTGTTGGATGCTCTCGTGCATTCTGGGGGAGGGTACCCTCGAGCGATCTTATGGTTTGGGGTGTTTTGCCCGGTGGGGGGTCTCATGTTCTTGAAGGATGTTCTTCTGTCCTAGGTCCGACCGCATGCCGCTCTCTCTCTCTCTCTCTGCCGCCGTGTGTTACCCACTGGCGGCCCCCTGTGGTGCTCAAGTGCTATGCCTGCTACGTCGCGGTGATCCTTGGGCTCGGACGCCTTGCTCAGGACACCCCTACAATCTGGGCGCGAACGGGCAGGTGTCCTACCCTTTGGCAGCTCCCCCATGGGCTGCTCGAGTGCTATGCCTGCTACATCGCGGGCTGCAACACGAGCGCCTCGCTCAGGACATCCCCACGATCTGGGCGCGAACGGGCAAGTGTCCTGCCCAGTTGTGGCTCCTCCTTGGGGTGCCCATTTGCTATGCCTGCTACATCACGGTGACCATGGGGCTCTGGCAGGAGGCGTCGGGGTTGCACACCGAACGCCTTGCTCAAGCCATCTCTACAGTCTGGGCGCGCGCAATTGGGCTGCCACCTGGTGGCTCCCCCTGTGGAGCTCAAGTGCGATGCCTGCTTCATCAGGGTGATCATTGGGCCCTTGCAGGACAGGCGTCGGAGGTACAGAACGAGCGCCGCCTCGCTCGAGACAGCCCACGCGCTATGGCTGCTACATCCCAGTGTTCATGAGGTATGAGTGAGTCTGGATATGAGTAGTTTTAGTATGAGGACTGAGTGTTGGTGCCCACCTGGCCTGCAGAGGTCGTCAAGATGCTCAGGGGGTTGGCGAGGGGGCAAGACAGCTTGGATAATATATATATATACACATATATCTGTATATATATATATATATATATATATTCCCATTCCCAGGAGGAGAATCCAGCAGTGGAGGAATCGGAGACGGAGACGTCAGACGGTTGGCTCTTCAAGGCCCCCCCACCCGCTTCCCCGCTTCCCCACTCCACTTCCTCACTCCTTTCCTCCCTTCCTCCGCCTCCTTCTCCTCCGCCTCCCCTATCTACTCCCTCGGGTTGGCAGCGGGTTCCCCCCCAAAGGCGCTGCTCTTCCTGTTGCCCGAGGACCGCGGTGCACATAGAGAGGGGCGGCGCAGGAGGAGATGATGATGATGACGACGACGATGATGATGATGATGATGATGATGATGATGATGATGATGATGATGATGATGATGATGATGATGATGCTGATGCTGATGCTGATGATGATGATGATGATGATGATGATGATGATGGCGATGCTGATGCTGATGCTGATGCTGATGCTGATGATGATGCTGCTGCTGATGATGATGGTAGTGGTGATGATGCTGATAATGATTATGATGGTGATGGTGATGGTGATGATCATGGTGATAATTGTGATAGTGATGGTGCTGATTGTGGAAGTGGTGATAATGCTGCGGATGGTGATGGCGATGATGCTGATGCCGATGATGTTGATGCTGCTGATGATGATGCTGATGATGATGATGATGATGATGATAATGGTGATTATTTTGATGATGATGATGCTGATGGTGATGATGATGATGTTTATTGGTGTTGGTAATGATAGTGATGATGATGATGGGTTTGATGTTGGTGATGCTGGTGATGATAATGATGATGCTGATGCTGATGATGATGGTGGTGGTGGTGGTTGTGGTGGTGATGATGCTGATGATGGTGACGGTGATGGCAATGGTGATGATCATGATGATAATTGTGATAGTGATGGCGATGATGATGGTGGTGGTGATGATGCTGCGGATGGTGATGGCGATGATGACGATGATGCAGATGATGATGTTGATGATGGCGATGATGATGATGATGATGATGATGATGATGATGAGGATGATGATAGTGATGATGATGATGATGATGATGATGATGATGATGATGATGGTTTTGGTATTGGTGATGATGGTGAGGATGATGATGCTGATGCTTCTGGTGATGCTGATGGTTGTGATGGTGACAGCGATGGTGACAGCGATGGTCGCGGTGATAGTGATACTGATGATGATGATAATGAGGTTGATGATGATGAGGATGACGACGAGGGTGAGGATGATTACGAGGAGAAGGATGACGATGATGATGGCGATGATCGTGCTGCTGCTGCTGATGATGATGATGATGATGATGGTGATGGTGATGGTGGTGATGATGATGGTGGTGGTGGTTGTGGTGATGATGGCGATGAGGAGGAGGAGTGTGACGATCATGCTGATGAGGATGATGCTGATGAGGATGCCGATGAAGATGATGATGATGATGATGATGATGATGATGATGATGATGATGATGATGCTGATGATGATGATGATGATGATGATGATGCCGAAGATGATGATGATGATGATGATGATGATGATGATGATGATGATGATGATGATGATGATGATGATGATGCTGATGATGATGCTGATGCTGATGATGATGATGATGATGGTGATGATGATGATGATGGTGGTGGTGGTGGTGGTGATGATGGCGATGCTGACGGCGATGATTGTGATGACAGTGATGATGAGGATGATGAGGATGATGATGATGATGATGATGATGATGATGATGATGATGATGACGGTGATGATGATGCTAATGATTATGATTGTGATGGTGGTGGTGATGATGATGATGATGATGCTGCTGATGATGGTGGTGGTGATGATGATGATATTGATTATGATGGTGATGGTCATGGTGATGGTGATGATGCTGATGATGATGGCGATGGTTGTGATGATGATGGTTTTGGTGATGGTTTTGGTGATGACGATGATGATGCTGATGATGATGGTGATGAGGATGATGATGGTTAGCAGGATTACTCTGATACTGACGATGATAGTGATGATGATGAGGTTGATGGTCATGGGGATTCTGATGATGATGTGAGAATGGGGAGGAGCAGAAGAAGGAGGAGGAGGAGGAAGGCCGGGACATGAGGGGGATGCGAAGGGAGAAGAGGAGGGGCTTGAGGGGAGGGGGGCAGAGGAGAAGGGGGGCGGAGGATGAGGCCGCAGGACGCAGGCTGTGTACAGGGCGGTCGACGATCCAGAACCCGCATGATGCGGAAAGTGATGCCGTCGAGATCAGCCCGCGAGAACCCCATCAGAGAAAGCCTGGCGGGTTTTGGGCGGCGCGCAGGGGCGCCCGTGATTGGGTGAAGGGCGTCGAGCAGCAGGTCACGAGCTCGACTGTGGGCCCACTGTTTGGGATTGGTCCAACCTGGCGGCCTGCTTGGTCGGTCGTCGCGGAAGCATCGACCGCGCGGCTTTTCCTCCATAACGCCCGAGGCTCCGAGCTCCCGAACAGGCAAACGCTTGTGGTCGACAGTATCCTTCGGCTGGAAGGAGGATGAGGTGTCTGTTGCACAGGCCCCGTGCCACTGAGCATGCCGTCGCCTTGGCTCAGGCAATGAAGTCCGTCATCCGGCGGCGCCTTCGCAGAAGCTTCTCGAAGACGCCTACGGCGAATCACCGCCGCCCCCTGCCGTCTGGAATCGCCAATGTGGCCGAGCGTTGTGGCAAGAACTCTGCCAAGCTATCGGGTCATGTGTCCCCCCAGCCCTTGTAGAACCCTTCGGGGAACACTTGGGGGAGGATGGAGGGGAAGATCAGGAGGAGGAGGAGGGCGAAGATGAGAAGGAGGGGACATTTTGGTAGCCTCTGGGGGCACTCTTGAGGCCTCCTTGGAGCTTACTGGGAGCCTTTTGGATGGATCTTGGGGTCTCCTTGGGCCTCTTGGGGGCCTTTGGGGCTTCTCGGGGACCTCTTTGGCCGTCTGAGGGCATTGCTGGCCCGTGTGACGCCGTTGGAAGCCATGTTGGGGACCTCTCTAGGCCGACTTGGGGCCTTCTTGCGGTGCTCCAGGGCCATCTTGGAGGCCATCTTGGGCGTCTTTGAGGCCTCGTGGGCCGTCTTGGGGTCCCCTTGGGGCCATCGTCGGGGCCTCTTGGGCCGTTCTGGGGCCATCTTAGAAGGCCTCTTGGGCGATCCTGGGGCGTTCTTGGGGGCCTCTTGGGCCGTCGGAGGATTGAAAAGACGCAACTACCAACATTCTTCAAACACCCAGGGAACGTCTCTGATTTTAGCCGCTTCGGGCCTTCCTGGAGGACCTCTTGGAGGCCTCTTGGGCCGTCTTGGAGACCTCTTGGGTGCCTCTTGGGCAGTCTTGGGCCATCTTCGAGCCATCTTGGGCCGTCTTGGTGGCCTCCTGGCCCGTCTGACGCCCTCTGAAGCCGTCTTGAGGGCCTCTCTGGGCCGACTTGGGGCCCTCTTGGGGTGCTCCAGGGCCGTCTTGGAAGACATCTTGGGCGTCTTGAAGGCCTCTTGGGCCGTCTTGGGGCCCTCTTGGGACCGTCTTGGGGGCCTCTTGGGTCTTTCTGGAGCCTTATTGGAGCCGCCTCTTGGGCGATCTTGGGGTGACCTTTGGAGGCTCTTGGGCCGTCTCGGGCCGTCGGAAGGCCGAACAGAAGCAAAGGCCCAAGTCCCTCAAACACCTAAGGAACGCCTCTGATTTTAGCCGCTTCGGGCCTTCCTGGAGGACCTCTTGGAGGCCTCTTGGGCCGTCTTGGAGACCTCTTGGGTGCCTCTTGGGCAGTCTTGGGCCATCTTCGAGCCATCTTGGGCCGTCTTGGTGGCCTCCTGGCCCGTCTGACGCCCTCTGAAGCCGTCTTGAGGGCCTCTCTGGGCCGACTTGGGGCCCTCTTGGGGTGCTCCAGGGCCGTCTTGGAAGCCATCTTGGGCGTCTTGGAGGCCTCTTGGGCCGTCTTGGAGCCTTCTTGGGGCCGTCTTGGAGGCCTTTTGGGCCTTTCTCAGGCCATATTGGAGGACTCTTGGGCGATCTTGGGGCGACCTTTGGTGCTCTTGGGCCGTCTCGGGCCGTCGGAGGACCGAAGAGAAGCAAATGCCAACATCCTTTAAAAGCCTAAGGGAACTCTCTGATTCTGGCCTCTTCGGGCCTTCCTGAGGACCTCTTGGATGCCTCTTGGGCCGTTTTGGAGGCCTCTTGGGGGCCTCTTGAGCCGTCTTGGGCCATCTTGAGGCTATTTTAGGCCGTCTTGGATGCATCTTGGGCCGTCTTGGAGGCAGCTCGGGGCCATCGTAACCGTCTTGGAGGCCACCTTGGCCATCTTGGAGGCATCTGTGAGGCCATCTTGGGCCATCTTGGCGGTTTTGAAAGCCATCTTGAGCCGTCTTGAGACACTTTTTCCCGGAATTGGGCCCCTTCTGGGTCCTTTCGGATGGCCAGCGGGACGGGCCGAAGCCCCAGGAGTTCTTTTGGAAAAAGAGCCCAAACCAAGAGCGAAAGGGTTTAGCATGCCGGGCACCCCTGTGGCAAGCCAATAGTGGGCGGCGGATGACGGAAAGCGCGCGTAGCGTGCGATCCGTTAGTCGGAAGACATGACATTAGGGGGAGTTTGAGAGGGCTGGCATCTGTATTGCAGGGTCTACCGGCCCGCCCTTTTCCATGTTAACAGAGCCCTTAACAGGGAAAATCGGGTGCTTTACTGGCCCGCCCGTTTCCCTGTTAACGGACTGTTGACAGGGAAATTGCACGCTCGGGCGCCCCTTGTTAACGGAGCCCTTAACATGGAAAATCGGGTGCTTAACAGGGAACGTCGGGTGACGGACGCGTTTTTCCCTGTTAACGGACCGTTAACAGGGAAATTGCACGCTCAGGTCCAATGGCGGCAACGTAAACATCTCTGAACACCGCGGCTTCCAAGAGCGAGCAGTGACGTAAACAAGCTGATAAGACCAAGGCTCCCAACAGAGAGCGGTGACGCAACACGTTCTTGACACCAGGGCACGAAACGGGCGGCAACGTAAGCTCCGCGTAAGCTCCGCGTAGACTTCGCGTAAGCGCGTAAAGTCCTCGTCAACTTGAGGTACCTTCAAGACAGCCCATGAGAGGCCAAGAGTCCTCCAAGACGGTCCAAGATGCCTCCAAGACGACCCATGAGGCCAGAGGCCCGTAAGATCGCCCCAAGATGGCCCAAGATACCCCCAAGACGGCCCCAAGACGTGTTCGAACATCTGCACGTATGCAGACGGCTTCAACGG